CCGCTTCTGCGTCGACCTCGGCTTGCAGCAGCTGCCACGCGCCTGGCGCATGCTCCACCATGCACTCGGGAGCCTCCGCGTCCAGCGGGGCCCCGGGGGTCTCGGGCAGGCGCCGCGCGCCGCCTTCGGAGGCACCCCTGGCACCCGGCACCGCCAAGATCTCGCCCGACCGGCTCGCGAGCTCCCTCTCTGCAGCGGAGGGAGCCTCCAGCAGGAGCTCGTGCGCTGCCAGGCGCCAGCCCGCCGCCGCGCCCTCGCGGAAGGCCTCGGCCTCGCGGCGGACGGCAGGCCTCGGCCTCGCGGCGGCCGCAGCCCGGGCCCCTCGGGGCCTGCAGGGCCTCCTGCGGGCCTCGGCCTCGTGGTCGGCGCCGCGCTTCGGGGCCGCCAGCACCGCCGCCGCGGCCAGGGAGGCCCACGGAGGTGAGGGGGGGGAGAGGCTCCCGCCGCGCCCGCACCGCTGCGCGCCCCGCGCCCAGAGGGAGGAGGGATCCGCGGGCGGCGCCATTGAGCCACGATGGCCACAGCGCTCGAGCCAAAACGGCTTGAGCCAAAGAGGCCACGAGCTATGCGGTGCAAGCTCTGTGGTGCAATCTACGTGGTTTAAGCCACGCAGAGCAGCCGCACGGGGCGGCAACGAGACGGCGACAGGGCGAGATGCCCATCGAGCCAGCTGTCGCACGAGGCGCCTACGAGTCGCCTTCGGGCGATAACGCGTGCAATGTGGATATGCAAGCTATGTGGTTGAAGGAATGTGGTGCGAGCTACGCGGTGGAAGCATTGTAGTGGAATGCATTATGCAAGATGTGTGGTAGCTGAGATTTGCGTGGTGTGAGCTATGCGGTGCAAGCTATATGGTGGAAGCTACGTGGACGAAGCTATGTGGTGCATGCTCCGTGGTGCGTGCTGTTGTTGTGCGAGCCACGTGGTGCAAGCTATGTGGTGCCAGCCATGTGGTGCAAGCCATGTGGTGCAAGATATTGGGCGCAAGCTCTGTTGTGCAGCTGCACGCGGCGGCGACGGGCGGCCAAGAGGCAGCCGCGAGGCGGCGACGGAGCGCCCACGAGCCGCCCACGGGCGGCAACTGGCTGCGACAGGGCGGCAAACCCCGAAGCGCCAGGCATCGCACGAGGCCCCTCGGGCGGGGCGATAGCCCAGAAGCGCATGCCAATCATCTCGAACATAAGACAGAACCCATACGTGCAATACTGGTTCCAGACATCACGCAATAATAGACAGCGGTAGTGCACACACATGAAGAACAGACATGGGGCGCAGGCAACACACACATGTATCCACACTTGACATGGAACACATGCATCAATCACAGACACCAAGACCATGCCCGGGGACAGGCACCGCTAACAGAAATTGAGAACACGCGCCACCGCTATTCAGCAATCTCACACACCTGTAACGTACACCAGTAGCAGACAGCAATACCGACAGCATTAACGCACGCACCAGTCACAGACATCCACAATATACGTCAAGCGACATGCATCCATGCCACACATCAGTGGTTGGTATCAGCCACATGGCGAGATGGCACCACGGCTCAGGAGGCCTGAAGTCGGTTCCGCGTAAGAGTGACCTTTCGCCGAGTGACCATCGTTGCGGGTTCACAGGGGGTCTCCGCTGCACTGGAGCCTGCTTTTTATTCCAGGCCGATGACAGCCGTCATCTTGCGGGGGGAAGGGGGCCGATGACGTCACGTTTCGCGCCGGTGGCGATTGCCTGGGAATGCCTAGGAATGAACGAGGGTGGGTAGCAACAGCATCTAGGTGTCGATCTGTACCACAGCGCCTGTGTACAGCACAATGCTCGCGTGCACCACAGCGCCTGTGTACACCACACCGCCGATGTACACCACAGCAGCCGCATGCAATACAGCGCCAGTGTCTGCCACAGTGCCTGCGTGCACTACAGCGCTGCTGTACACCACAGCGCCTGAGTACACCACATCAGCCGTGTGCAACGTGCAACACAGCACCAGTGTACACCACGGTACTCACGTGCACCACAGCGCATGAGTACACCACGGCGCCCTTGTGCACCACAGTAACTGTGTGCATCAGAGCGCCACTGGTGTATAATAGAAGCGCCTGTGGATTCCACAGAAACCATTTTTGCCAGGATTTGGAAAGGAAGTCGTATGGACTGACACGCCCCGAAGGGTCTTACTGGCGCCGACCGGAAATTAATTCAAATAATTGATTTCGGTACATCCCAGAAATACCGGAAATAGAAAGGCCCCCACCCAAAAATGCAAGTGCATGTATTGAGCATTTGCGAATAGTGATCGCGTTTTCAAATCATCAAAAGTATTGATTTTGCATACGGTCATCGTTTTTTGCAGCAATGGTATGTTTTTGGCGCGATGCGTTTGGGTTTGCAAAAAGGGTATGTTTTTGGCGAGCAAAAGGTATGTTTTTTTTGCAGCAAGGGTATATTTCCATCAGGTTTGGTATGTTTCATCATATTTCATCAGCTGTTTCATCGTTTTCGCAACTCCGTCCTCATCCTCCCTCTTCCTTCGTCCTTCATAATTCCTCCTTTCTGCTCGTTCTCACCTGGCACCATCTTTCTTTCTGCTCGTTTTCCCCTTATTTCTGCTTCTCCTTTCTGCTCGTTCTCACCTGGCACCAAATTCCTGCTCGTTCTCACCTGGCACCCATTCTCTGCTCGTTCTCACCTGGCACCCATTTTCTGCTCTTCTTTTCTGTTCTTTCTGGCTCTAGGGTGACCCAAGGTTCTTTTGGTTATTTTAGATGATGTCCTCGGCAAAGAACGCGCAGCGGTGGTCTATGGCCAGCAGCGCTTCCCCTGCGTCTGTTGTGATAGACGACGGTTTCGAGCTCGTGAAGAAGCTCACAGAACAGACGCTGGAGAACTGGGCGAGCTTCACGGGCCGCCTCTTCCGATTGGCATTCAAAAGAAGGTGTTTCGGCCATCTGGGCCAGTGGCTTAAGGAGGTCAAGGCCTTTTTTCCTCCTCCCCTTCCTCCTCCTCCCTCCTTCCTCCTCTTCCTTCCTCCCCCCTTTCCTCTTCCTCCCCCTCCTCCTCCCCTTTCCCTCACCCTCCCTCTCCATCCCCCCCCCCCTCCCAGGCCCGCGGCAAAAGCTGAGGCACAATTCAAAATTCAGAGCTGCTTCAAGAGCCGCTTTCAGAGCTGCTTCAAGAGCTGCTTCAAGAGCTGCTTCAAGAGCCGGTTCAAGAGCCGCTTCAAGAGCCGCTTCAAGAGCTGCAAGTGCGCCACAATTCATAATTCAGAGCTGCTGCGCAAGGCTGGCCACTTTTGAAAGTCGCGGTTCTAGCGCGCCTAACCCGACGACCCGGGTCTTCCTAGGTAGAGAAGTGCGGAGCTCCGGCTCCCTGGGTTCGGCCAAAGTGGCGCTCGGGGTTGCTCCCTTGTCGGGCGGGGTCTGTCACTTCCAGTTGTAGGCCACCCTTGCGCAGACTGATTCGTGGGGCCATGGTAAAATGTAAAAGGAAAATTGAAAACTCGCCATGTTGCCCAGGACATCTTCTGGCCACGTTACCCAGGACATCAGGCCATGCTGCCCAGGATATCGTCTGAGCACGCTGCCGAGGACGTCAGGCCATGTTGCCCAGGGCATCTTCTGGCCACGTTACCCAGGACATCAGGCCATGCTGCCCAGGATATCGTCTGAGCGCGCTGCCGAGGACATCAGGCCATGTTGCCCAGGACATCTTCTGACCACGTTGCCCGGGACATCAGGCCATGTTGCCCGTGATATCGTCTGCGCACGTTGCCGAGGACATCAGGCCATGTTGCCCAGGGCATCTTCTGGCCACGTTGCCCAGGACATCAGGCCATGCTGCCCAGGATATCGTCTGAGCACGCTGCCGAGGACATCGGGCCATGTGCCATGTTGCCCAGGACATTTTCTGGCCACGTTGCCCAGGACATCAGGCCACGCTGCCCAGGATATCGTCTGCGCACGTTGCCGGGGACATCAGGCCATGTTGCCCAGGACATCTTCTGGCCACGTTGCCCAGGACATCTGGCCATGCTGCCCAGGATATCGCCTGGCCACGTTGCCCAGGAAATCACGCCGCGTTGCCGAGGTCACTAGGCTCGAGGGCGCCCAGCGCGAGGCTGCCGCTGGGCGCGAGGCAGACGCCGGGCGCGCGATGCTGGAGCAGCTGAGCGACGACGACGAGGTCGACGAGCCAGTCGCCATGCTCCTGGAGCTGAGCGACGACGACGGCGTGCCGGACGCCCCGATCGTCGGCGCCATTGACGTGGACGAGCCCCGATCGTTGTCATGGAAGGGCCAACAGAGACGAGACGGCTCGGGGCGATACGTTCGGGAGACAGCTGAGAATCCCAGCACGCACCCTCTGGTAGGCTTTCGCCTTTCGCCGACCGGACCCCGACGATATGTGCGATATGGGGCGCGGGATATATGATATATGGGATTTGGGGTATGGGATGTGGGATATGGGTCAGGATATGGGATGTGGGATATGGGATATGGGATATGGGATATGGGGTACGGTATATGGTATATGGAATATGGAATACGGAATATGGAATATGAGATAAGAGATACAAGATATGTGAGAGATGAGACCTGGGATATGCGATATGAGATGTGAGATGTGGGATATGAGATATGTGGTATAAGATATGATATATGAGGATATGAGGATATGACATATGAGATATGAGGATATGAGGATGTGCGATACGCGATACGAGATGAGATTTGAGATTTGAGGATTGGGAGGTGGAGGGCCAGGGCGATGAGGAGCGCCAGAGACGGACGAAGGTGGGGAGGAGGGCGATGGAGAGGGTACTGGGTAGTAGGTATTGGGGTATTGGGCCATGGGTCATGGTGCAATGGGTAATGTAAGCGACCCTGCTCTTCCCCCCCTTCCCCCGGCTCCTCCGGGGCGTCGGGCGCGGGCGTCGCCCGGGGGGTCGAGACGTTGAAGGGGCGCGCTGATCAGGATCAGAAGAGGAAAATCGAGAGGTGCCTCAAGGCGGTGGGCGAAGTCAGGGATGCGTTCAAGAGGGGCCTCAAGGCGGTCGGCGGAGTGTGGAACAAGAAGGTGCTGCGGCGAGGGGAGCGGCTGCGCGTGAACTCCGAGAAGCTGGTTCGCAAGAACAAAGGTGGGCAACAAAGTCACCTGAAAGCTTGGGCTCTCAGCGGCACGATCCGCCTCGCTTTCGAGTCGATCGGGCCCCTTCCGCAGCAGACAGCGCGCGCCGAGGGTTGCCGGAGAACGATTTCGGCGGTTGCTGCCGTGGCCCACGCTGGATTGCATCATCAGATGGAGCAGTTGCGCGCCGTGGCGGAAGTCGCCGAGCACGGCCGGAGCAGTTGGTTCTTTGTCCAGCGGGGTCTGCGCGCGACTCCGCTCACCGCGAACTTCGGCTCGCTTGCAAACATCGTCACGCCGTGGGCGCGGTACTGGCGTAAGGTCTCTGACGACATGTCTGTGCCGGCCAAGAAGCGTTGGGAGTCGGTGACGTACGCGCAGTACTTGCAGCTGGCGCAAGGGAAGGGCATACACACGCCCCGCGTCGGAATGCTGGAGTTCCTCGTACAGACTGCGCAGGTCAAGCGCGGTTACAGGGGCAGGCGGCAGGAGTAGCAATGGAAAATGGAGAGTAGCAGAATAGCAGAACAGCAGACTACAGAATAGCGGAATAGCGAATTGCAGAATAGCGAATAGCGAATGGCGGAAGAGGAGGCGGCGGAGGGAGGAAGAGGAGGAGGAGGGGGGGCGGGGGACGATGACGGCGAATATGATAGGGCGATGAGGAGGGGGAGGGGGAGGGCGAGGATGGGGGCGGGGATAGGAGGAGGGGGGCAGGCGCGGGCATTTCGGTCTCCAAGGTCACTTGGCCAGAGCTGGTGGACGGCGACCCCAACTTCGTCATCGCTCATCGGCAGACCCTGAAGCTGCTGCCGACCTTCCTAGAGTCCACGACTTCGTCGTGCCAATTCTCGGCGATGGAGGCCGCTTGCGGAGGTATTTCGCTCGAGGCCCTTGCGCAGATGACCCATCGCATGAAGTGCGTGGTGATCAGCGTGGAGTCTGACGCGCGTCCGTCCCTCGTCAGGGCCAAGTGCCACATCGGCGAGATCTGCGCGAAGCACAACCTCACAGCCGTCGCCAAAGGCCACGGGGTCATCGCATTAATCGAGGTGCGCTGTTTGGGCCCCTTCTTGCACAATCTGATGGAGAGAGCCTTCCGCCACGCACAAATCGCACCGAGGTTATGCGACGTCTGCTGGCGCTGCAGGACCCCATCAACTTACTCTTGCATTTTCGAGGCGTTGGAGGCTATTGTCAAGGAGGATCTGACCAATGGCGGCTTCTAACCTCACCTCGCCCCGCCAGCTCCGGCGGCGGGCCGCCAGGGGCACGCTGTGGACCTCGTCAGGCTCATCGCAAAGGGGCAGCGGTTCGACACCAAGGCCAGGCATGAGGATTTGATGTTGCCCCTTGACGAGGGGGAGTTGATGCGCGAGCTGAGCGCGATGTGCAATGGCGATTGGGGCCAACGTCGCTTGCAGCATTACTGCATGGGTGCAGACTGTTGTGAGGGGCAGAATCTTGGCGTCGCCATTAGCCGAATGACTGCAGTGTTGGTCCGAGCCTTTTTCGGTCATATGGCGACAGATGTTCCCTCGACAGCCCGCTGGTACACGATTCACCCTCAGTACGTGCGGCAGGCCGGCGGGATGGCGTGCCACGACATTTTCGGGCGCGTTTTCCGCCGCGCTGTGAAGTTCGAGACCTTGCCAGAAAACGACCTCGCGAGCTTTCATGCCATGAGTGATTAGGCATGCTATATGTTATATGTTATATGCTATATGTTTTATATGTTCTGGGAACATAAAGTTTTGGCGATATCTGCGCGGGAACGATCGGTCGCTCGTCGATTTGGCCCGCGCGGGGCCTTGTAGCCGATGGCTGTTCCACCCCCACGGTTTTCGCGAACCGTGGGGGTGGGGCAGCCATCGGCTACAAGGTCCCGCGCGGGCCAAATCGACGAGCGACCGATCGTTCCCGCGCAGATATCGCGGAAAATCGCATCGCGGGACACAAGTTATGATACGTAGGCCGCGATTGACCCCGAAACCGAGCGCGCGCCGTCGGCGAGCATCTACCGCCGTCGGCGTTTTTGTTGTGGGTTTTGGGCCGAAATGGCTCAGAATTGGCGTCCCGGCTGTGATATGCAGCCGCGCAGAGCAACAAATAAGATGTTGTTTTCCGAAAAGCTCCATATCGCAGGATTATGGTCGATGCGCGCGCATGAAAACAAGGCGGGTTTCGCGCGGGGGCGAGCTAATTCATGTTTTTTGCACTGCACATTCACGCGTGGAGATGTACATCCATGTTTTTCGCGTTTAGCCTTTCGAAGTACAGGCTATTTTCTTTCAAGTTCCGGGATTTCCGGGACATGTATTTCCGGTATTTCCGGGGGTCGGCGCCAGTAAGACCCTTCGAGGCGTGTCAGCGCATGGAAAAAGAAACGCCGCTGGAATCTACGAGTCCTCCCGAGTTCTCCCTCATCATCCTAACTCTTCCTATCTACGTCCAGAAGGCTCTCGCAGAATAGGCCGTCCGAGAACCAAGTGGACTGATTCAATAGACCATTCTGCGGTGCACATTGAGATGCGCACGTTCGCTGTAGCGCCGACCCGCACGACGGGGAAAGGAGTGAGGAAGACGGAGGAGGAGGAGGAGGTGGAGGAGGAGGGAGGGGAGAAACACATCGCATTCGACGCTCAGCAATTCCCTGGCGTTGTGATTCGCTGTCCGCGGCAGATTCTCACCCACATGCTCCTTCTACCTGTCCTGTGCAAGCAGGCGCTGTGGTGTACACCAGCGCTGCGATGCAAGCGGATGCTGTGGTACACAGGCGCGCTGGGGTGCACTGGCGCTTCGGTGCGCACAGGCATTGCGGTGTACACAGGCGCTGTGTTGCACACGGCAGTTGCGGTGTACGCAGGCGCTGTGGTGTACACGCGCTGTGGTGCACGCGAGCATTCTGGTGTACACAGGCGCTGTGGTGCAGATCGGCACCTACATGCTGCTCCTACTTGGCCTCGGTTATCCATCAGCATTTCCAGACGCCACCGGCGCGGAACGTGACGTCATCTGGGGAGGGGGCGGGGCCGATGACGGGCGCTGTCCCGGAGAATAACAAATCAGGCTCCTGGCTTGCACGCTTGGATTTGGCCCCGCCCCCGCGGCCACCTAAAACCGCGCACCAAAGGTCAGCTTTGCCAGTGGTCACTCTTGCGTGTAGCCGATGAAGCTCCGACACCTCCCAGTCGCACCGCCCACTTCACGATGGCATATCTGGCCATGACTCCGACAGGGACAAGGAGGTCGGTGGATAGTGTTCGGAAGGACCCCGCGATCTCGATCTGCATCTTGTTGGAGCAAAAAGTCATGATAGTGATACGTTCCAAGTTTTCCAAGAGGTCCAGGGTTCCCCTGAGTTTCCAGTGATTCGCACGGGCCGCAGAGACTGTGCTCTGGAACTCCTGGAACGCATCTTGGCCCATCGTATCATGACATTGTTCTCGCGTCCTAGTACTCCCACGGCCATCTCCCCAGCCGCGGCGCTGACGCCGATTGGCCATAACTCGCTCCGATGCCCGATGCCCGCCCTTCGGCGCTTGCAAAGCCCGCGCCGCCTGTGGGCCTGTTGGACCGACCTAGCCGCGAGCCGCCCTCCAGGCGTCCCGCCTACTGCTTCGGGCCTCTTCGTTGCCCTGTCGAGCTTAGCCTCCGTGCCGTCGATCGACGAACAGAAAACGGCGTAAACGGGCTGTCTCGGAGGTCCGCGCAGATCTCGTGGATCGGCGCTCGGCCTCCCCTGGCGACGCCTCTAGCGCCGCCCCTATCGCGCTCCGCGCGCCGGGGAGGAGTCCAGCGCCGATCCGAGAAATCCGCGCGGACCTCGCAACCCCACCAGCCCATCCAGAAACGATGCCCAGGCGAGTTGAGAGGTCATCAGGAAAGTGCGGGAGCAAAGAGGGGGACGGTCCAGGGGAGGGGGTAGGGCAAGCTAGGTGCGCTCGCGTCATATCTGACTACCCCTCCCTCCCATCCCTTATCATGGCGCAGATCCCCTCTCTACTCGCTCAGTTGGATGTCGAGCAGGGCAATGATGGGTACGCGATGCAATGTAGAGCACGGCATGGCATGGCGTAGAAGGGCACCGCAAAGCGTAGTATCAACCTAGCATTGCACTGCATGCCGTGGCATGGCACGGGAAATGACGCCAGCGCTGCAGCGGGAGCAGGAGTCGAAACGAGCGGAAGCGCGGAAATGAGGCCAGCGCTGCAGCGGGAGCACGATTCGGAACGAGCGGAAGCACGGAAATGAGGCCGGCGCTGCAGCGGGAGCACGATTCGGAACGAGCGGGGCCCGAAAATGAGGCCGGCGCCTCAGCGAGAGCAGCATTTTGAAAAACAGAAAAATGCAGGCGAAAACCCAACTCCGGGGAAACCTGTGTGTAAAAAAGCAGTACGCGGGGGGGGGAGTCGGACACTCCCAGGCCGTCATCAGGGAAAGAGGGAGAGTAGTATTCATATTGAGTAATTGTGGAGGGGTAAACCCTTGACCGAAGGGGAAGAAGGAGGGGTGGAAGAGGAAACTCCCTGAGCCACCGACGCCCAGAGGGCTGGTGGGATTAGGTTGATGCAATTCTTTGTTCTTCTAGTCGAGGGCGTCGCTCGGACTGCCGCCCGCGGTGACCGCCCCACGCAGTGCCGAAGGCGTCGCTCGCCCTGCGCCGGCGCGGAGCCGTGCCGCCGCAGGGTCGGCCAGGGTGGCGAGACTGGCAGGTCGGCCGCCGCGCCCACGATCCACGGTCTCGGCCTGGAACGCGTCCACGGCCTCCACGATGTCGAACTGCTCCCTCGCACCGCCGGCCCGCTGCTCGATGGCTATCGTATGTTGGAAGTGCCACGCCTGCGCACGGGCCTCCCTGAGGCCCTTGGTGCGAGCGCGCCGAGGCGCTGGCAGCCAGGGCCTCCGCGATCGGTCACGTCCTAATCACTTTTTGCTCCCTGCCGTGGCGCTCACGGTGGACCCGATGAGGAAGGCGGCCATGTCCAGGTTCGCCGCGTCGACACCCTGGGGTGCCACCGCGACCTCGTCGTGCACGAGAGCCGCGGACCAAACCGCCACATGCCGCGTCAGCCCGAGCGACGCCGCCAGCACCTGGTCACCGGTGCTGCCCGGCAGATGCGCGAACACTCTGCGGGCAGCCCTCCAGCACTCTTTCCCATTCGCAGGCTCGAGCTCTCCCTGCTCGCGAGGCCAGCCATGGCGTCCTCTCGAGCGTGGTCCCGCCGCGGCAGCCCCGGCAGGCGTGCCGCTCCGCGCAGCTCCTGCTCGAGGTCCCCGAGGTGCTGGCTGCTCGTGTCGCCGCCGCCCGGCAGCCGAGGCACTCCTTGAGCTCCTGCGTCCCTCGGCGCGCAGCGGTTGGCCACTCGCCCGCCATGCGGGGCTGTGACCCCTCGACCCACAGGGGCCATGATGGGCTGCGCCCTTGTCGTCGCCGTGGTGGGTGCGCAAGGAGAGCCCTCGAGCCCAGATAGCTGCGGAGGGCACGGAGAGGGCCGAGGGAGGAGGGAGGATGAGGCTGCAGGAGGAGGAGGAAGAGGCCGAGGAGAAAGAAGACGAGGCGACGGGAGGACGAGCAGGAGGAGGAAGGAGCCAGGAGGGAGGGATGGAGTTGAGTTTGGGGCGGGAGTGGAGTGCGGGGAGACAGGATCGTAATGAGGCGTGATGTTGCTGGTGATGGTGATGGTGTTGGTGATGGTGGTGCTGACGATGATGATGGTGCAGATGATGCAAGTAAGAAGGACTAGGAGGGAGTCAATCTAGCCAGGTCGAGCGAGTAAGCGGTTCCCGCCCATTCCCGCCGTTCCTCCCATGACATAGGAATTGTTTGTAGCATCAATTGATTTTAGGACCTGAACGCCTTTCCACCCAGCGAGCGGACGGCGCTCGCGTGCGGTCCCTCTTCCGGCTATCTGGCGAGGAGAGAAGACCTGGGTGAGGGCGGAGGTTCAGAGAATCTTCGCGCCGCGCTGCGGCGAGAACACCATGGTGTTGGCCCTCCGTGGGGGCGGCCAAATGTCCGATTCGCGTCGATGACGAAGGCATCGCTGCGCCGAAGCAGCACTGCCACTTTCGGACAACCTGCGCGGCGCCCGGGCGAGAGCGCCTGTACGCCCGCTCTCGAGCGGACCCGCTGGGATTGGGTGAGCGACGCCTGCCTCCTGGCCACGCGGGGGACTGCCACTTCCAGGCGAACTCTCCACGGATGGGGGGCCACGCGCGAACCCGACCCCTGCCCGCCACGATCTCTGAGGGCGAGGGCGGGGTCCACTTCGCTCGGGAAAGTCCCGAGCGATGTGAACCCCACCCTCCCCCTCAGAAGGGGTAGGGGTAGGGGGAGGAGGAGGAGGAGGAGGATGAGGAGGAGGAGGAGATCCGTAGCCATTTGGCTCAAGGCCATTGCCTGGGGGCTTCCCTTCCCCTGGGGTGGGGGCTCGAGCTGGTCACAGGGACCCGCGCCCCCTTCTTTCACTGTACGTTCGTTTCTGCTGATGGCTCCACAGCAATCTTGGGATGGCAGCAGTTCTCACATGTGGCGCTGCGAACGCTGCGGGTGCAGTAAAACGAAGTGGGACCAGGCGCACTGCAAGCATTGCGGGGCACACTGGAAGACAGGCGAGAAGAAGAGGGCCAAGAAGGGCAAAGGGACCGACCGTGACGGTTGGGACCAGGATCAGCTGGGCGATTCTCCTCC